TCTATAAATAAATAAATAGACATATATACATATATGTATAATATATAAATATATAAGGGTAATAAATATATTTTATTTATTTTATTTATAGTATAGGTAGCATCTATGGTAATTATCAAGCGATACTGTGAGATCAATAACACAGTTTGTTCTGGATGTATCCCAATTTATGATTGGCTCTTAATATTGCAAAAGTATTGGTGGCCTTGCAGACAGTTGATGTAAAAATGTCATCCAAGTGAGTTTGCGCCTTAGCTGCACGTGTGTGAGAAAGAGACAAAGATAGTTTTTGCTGAACGCAGGCCTTATTCTTGCTGAGTGTGAGCGAGATGGCCTCTTAGGCTACTCGGACATGCTTGTTCTGATTGTCATTGGACAAAGAGAATCAATCGGCGGCCATTCAAGAAAAGCACCGTATGAAAGACAGCAAATGCCTTAACATGAAATTCATGTAGCATACGTAGAGTGTATATTTTCTATATTCATATTCAGATCAATCAGTGCTGTAATTTATGTTTTGTTTATATATATATATATATATATATATATATATATATATATATATATATATATATATATATATATTTTTTTTTTTTTTTTTAATATTTAGCTCATTAAATCAATCGATTTATTAATTTGATTATTTACATTTGATTAATTTGCATAATGCAATAAGTAAATTAATTATAAACCGGAATTAATATGCATTAAACATATTTTTTTGCTCATGCTTACTAGACGGCCTATTAAATATGCAGAGTATTTAAATATGCGAATATATAAATATATATATATAAATTTTATTATTAATAAAAACATTTTAAATTATTCGAATTACACTAGGCAACAAGAGTTGAGTCAATTCATATGATTGTAGTTGTCAAATCTGAAAGCAATTTAAGCAAATTGAAATCAAGCAATTTCAATTATTGAACTTTCTACAATAATCTGTGATGCTTGTGCATGTTAGTCATGTAAAAATCGTATAACAGTCATATAACAATCGCTGTTATATTACATATAATATTTATTTAAGAAGACCCAAGAACAAAATTTTTTAGTTTAAGGTCTTAAAGACAAAATCCGATTCAGAATCAGTTCATATTTCCGTGCGAAAGAAAATGTTACATTTCTGTTGTACAGTGCTGTCAATTACTCTTTATGGCTACAACATAACGAAATACTTTTCATGTATTTGTACTAAATATTTATTGCTTATGAGTTTACTGAGAAAGAGAGAGAGAGAGAGAGAGAGAGAGAGAGAGGAGAGAGAGTGTGATGCCCTTTTGATTGTCACTTGAAATTTGAGGCACGTTTTATGAAACTCAATAAAAGAGGTCACAACACATACATACATATCTATATATTTATATATGTGTATATTTTCATGCACGACAAAGTTTAAGCTGGTAATTGAGTTGAGAGCAGACGGAGCAGATACTTCCGCTTTTTATTATCTTGTATTAGGGGCAACAAACGGCTCAGATAATGGGAATCAATGTGGGATTTGTTGGCCTCGAAATTGATAAGATGGCTTAGACGATGCGCAGGTCTCTACTTGACATTCTTAATTGGGGTCATATGATTTGGCTGTATGATGAGCTCGACCTGGACTCATTTGTCTCCATCAAGCTAAAGCAGGCTCTCTTTAAGCACTTTTTAGCTAGCATTTAAGCCAAACAGTTGCGCTTTTGCCTTGGCTAACAGCCCCAAAAATGCTTAAATGATAAATAAAATTTGCAGGTGTTTAAATCTTGTGCAAACTTCGCTTGGCTAGCGCACTTATGTTCACTTACACACACTCAGATACACACACTCGCACACGCACACACAGACACGCGATAAGCACCTGCATATTCATAACTCAGATAAGCGCTCCACCAACGACTCCTGCTCCTGCTCCTGCTCGTGCTCCCGTTCCTGCTCCTGCCCTACATCTGACTCTGGTTCTGGCCAACTTTCAACCTTGATAGCTGAACATTTTCGGGCAACCCAAATTCATGTAAATTATGTTTAAGTGCAGACCCACCTAAGTCTCGGCTTTGGCCAGTAGGCGTGGCAAGCGTAGCCATACAAACTGCGCAAATGCACGAAAATATGCTTCGCCATAGACGTGTGAGAAATAATATTTTGCTCTGCCCTCAAAAGCTATAAAATTTCATAATTTATAAAACTTGAATATCCAACACAAAAAACGGTTTAAACAGCCTACGTATGTGTACGCCTCTACTGCTGCTTCTTCTTCTCCTGTTGGCCAACAATTGTGTGCATAAATTTGCTGCACTTTTCACACTCGAATTGCATCTTTATTGCTCTGACCGAGCAGAGCAGAGGAAATATGTGAACAGGTGAACATTTCATATGCAGGCAAGCCGCATGGAGCGTCCATTCACTCATGGCCTAAAAGATGATTGATCACGAAATAGTTCTAATTGTAGCTCTAAATTGTAATCAAAAATTTAGTTTTTCATATTTACAAATAGAATAGATGAAATAGAAATTGAAGAACAGGTAAGAGTCTAGTCGATAGATAATGCTCGACTATGAGATACTGTGAATCCTGCATAGAGCTGATATTCTAATCATTCTACTTATTCTTTTTATATACTTAAGCTCACATACATACGCATATACACACGTACAACAGTTGGACGTGAGCTTCACTATGAGAAGGTGTTGTTTCTTCCGTTCCTTCAAGATAAACTTTCTAAGTGGGATACGAAGTCGCAATGATGTTTGTTTCTAGTAAGCCCCAATATCTTCAAATTTCACCTCTTATGTGGTATTCCATCTATATTTAACCAAAAAAGGAATTTGAGCTATCCAGCATTAACGATACCGAGAGAGAGAGAGAGAGAGAGAGAGAGAGAGAGAGAGAGGATTCAAATTCAAAGAGTAAATCACCTCGGAGTTCAAGTTTTTAAGCTCAGAAAACTCATCTTTGGCATATATTATGAACAATATATTACAAGTAGAAAATTATTTACCATCAAATGGCAAATAATATTTATTATTTTACTTATCGATATGATTAAGCATCTGCTGAAATATGATAGCAAATAATATCACTCTAGTTTGGTCTCTCCATGTTTCGGCTATTTACTTGCTATAGACTTTGATTCAATATTTATTAAAATATATTTAGTATTTAGATAAATATATTTGGGAGCTTGAGTCCTGCACATTTTCAGTATATCAAGAGCACAGTAAATATTCGGAAATTGTCTTCCGTAAATAGTCTCACAGCTCGCCAGGTCCAGCTCAAAATGTATTCTACTTTACATATGTCAAGGACTTACCCAAATGCTTTTTACCTCATTCACTAAATTGGTAAATTTCTATTTATTTTGCCAGTGGGGAAATCCCATTGAGCACTTTATGCAGTTTACTGAATACATATTTTTGGCTCAAATTTATTTAGCATAACAAGAATAAAATAGAAATGCTGTCCAGCAAGAATTTCGTCTTCTATCATTTGTCCTTAAACCCGAAGCCAAATGCAGACAGAAAAACATTTCTCTGCTCATGGCTGGGAGATTTTGTTTATTGCATTGCGCTTTTAATTGATTTTCAATTCGTTGCCTTTTATTTCATTTTATTTTATTTTATTTTGTGGCTTTTTTCAGGGCGGTTAAAAGTTTCGGCTTGCGAAGAACTAACCTCGAAGGGAAGTGTGACAAGTGAGAGAAAAAGTGAGAGAAGGAGGAGCTTCACGACTGTCAGATATTCTGAGCTCAGTACGGAGCTAAACTCACAGTCATGCTAGGCATTTCCTATAAATACATGCACAGACACATACACACACACAAGCGTATGTAAGTGCAGAGCTAACTGTGCTATTGTGTGTGCCTGCTCTTAGCTCAGAGACCTAGGGTTCTAGTTGAACGATCCGAATGGCATTTTCAGAGCTGAACATCATTCATGGGAAAGTGTCAGTGTACTAAATGTTAAGTCTCCACTATGAAAACTATATGTATTTTGGTGTAGTGGCAGGGTTGTAGTCAAGCTATTCATTACAAAAACTTAAACATCGATTGACTCTACCACTTAAAGTCTTCTAATAATAACATAAAACCCAATTTCGTTTTCACAGAAAAGAGAGATATCGCTTGAACGGATAGGCAGACGATCAGGCAAACAGCTCAACATGTCCTTACCAATTCAGCTCGTGTACTCGATGAAGGATCTATGTAAATGATACTCGACATGGCGCCGCGTGCATTTGGCGATAAAAGGAAAAGATTTTGCGTCCTTCGAGGCCATCCAAAAGACTTCCGCCGACATCCTGAAGGACATTCAAGGACGCTCAATAGAACAAAAACACTGATTCGTAGTATTTTGAGGCGGCAACGGAATATTTTAAAGAAATAAACAGAAATGTCTCAGCACAAAGGTTCTGTCGTTTTTATTTCAGCTCCATCTCGTTTACTGTGGAACGTACCTCGTTTATATATGCATATAAATTCAAGCACCTTCCACAATATTTTCTCGACTTTGCTGCTCTGTACATAAATACAGAATCAAGAATTTTCATTAAGTAATACATATGGCATATTAAGACTGATTGGCTTTGCTTATGTCCCCAATAGAACCGAACATATTCTATATACAAATATTGTTTCCGACATACTCAGATAATTTCAAGTGCTGAGACAACGTAAAGTTCCAAGATTTGGAAAAGTTTGCTTTGGTTTGCAGCGCTGAAAGCAAAGCAAATTACATTCTCCTCTGTCTTAAATGCAAACATGTATATGTGAGTAGGTAGGAGGCGTGGCTAAGTCTCCTTCCATTGCGGTTAGTGGCTTTCAGCTGAGATTTCTTTCAGCTAAAAGCGTTTGTACTCAAAGGAGTTAAGTGAGCAGCTCGCAAAAGTGCATCGAATCAGAGAGACAGACAGAGAAAGGGAGAGAAAGAGAGCGCACTTTACATTGTCTGCGGCTGCCTTGGCTTTGAGAGTTTTGAGCGCAAATTGCATTTCGGGCGCAGCAAGCCGGCTTGCATCAACGGTATCCCTGGGACTGGAAGTACCTGAATAACGTTTTCTCTGCACAACTGTAGATATGCTTGAACGCTCGCGCCAGCTTAAAGGACTTCCTTGTGCAGCGGGAGATGCGCTGTCGCGCCATATCGATGAAGTCGGTGCAGTTCAAGAAGCCGGTCTGCTCATCGACGAACACGGTGAAAATGATATCGATGATGTGCGCGGAGAGAGGAACTCCCACGACGACATCCGAAACGTGCTTGAATGTCCTGCGGGAGACGCCCGCGCCGGCCAGGATGTGGTAGCTGAGTGCCGTCTGAATGACCGGCAGGTGCTGAATGAACTTGAAGAAGGACATGAACTCCTCGAGCGTGACCCCACGCCGGTTGTCCTTGTACCTCGCATAGGTGCGCTGCAGTATCTCCTTCTTCCGATGTCCTGGAATCCTGGCGTATGCGAGCAACAAGTTGGCGAAGCGCATCTCGCTTATCCTGCTCGCCGATTGATCTGTCATTTCGTCTTGCGTTTTCCTCGGCTTCCTTTTCAGCGTATTGAACTCGATCTGAATGATGTCGTGGAACAGCTGCCGCTTGAACCTGAGAAGGCTGTCCAGGCTCAGCTTCTGGTCGAGATCGGGACCGAACAAATAACGCTTCGCAGAAGTTTTGATCTTCATGCGGCCGTCCGAAGCGCCAAACAGCAGGAAGCTCATATCGTTCTTGTCGAGCATCTGCTTGCCCTCGCTGTCGAGCAACTGGAAGCCCATCTCGAAATACCGTTCGGAGAGCACCACCAGCTGCAGCAGGTACAGGAAGTCCGAGTACGTGAGCATGCCATCGGGCCGAAGCTTGTAGAATATGCTGTCCCTGGATACGCCCCGGATAACGAGCTTCTGCATAGAGTCCTTATGCATTTTGAAAAAGTTGTTGAGGCCCAGGCCTTCCGGCTGCATCCAGCTGGGCGACATCGAGCGCACAAAGTCCTTGGGCGTCATATAGACAATCCATTTGCCGGCGTCACTCCTCACCTTGATTGTGGCAAAGTAGCAAAAAATCTTCTTGTGCGTCGAGTACGATCGCAGCTGATTCTCGTATTCCCGTATTGTCAGAGACCGGAAACGCGAATGGCTTGAGCCGTGGCCAGACTCTGCCCTCAGCAATAGCAAGCTTTTCAAATTCTGTAAGCGCATGTTCGCCCTCTTGCCCCTCCTCCTTGGCAGTGGCTCATCTTGGCGGTTGCCCGCATCGCAGCTTGCCTCTGTAAGGCTTCTAGGCCAATCCAGGCAATCGGCTGCAATTAGTAGCATATAAAACTTGAGGGCATGGATACGTTCTTTCGCTACACGCCAATTGCTGCCACGTTGATTCGTCCATTTCCGTAGAATTGATTTGCATGTCACTCTCATAATACTGCCTCGGGCTTGAATCCCAACAATTTTGAATTTGACATCGATTTCAAATAACTTTTCTATTGTGGTATTTGGCTAGCCTGCTACTATATAGGATTTCCTTAAACCTTCGCCGACAGAGGGAGAGTTGATATACATTCACTGTCTATCTACTACTGTACTGTAGTAGTGTACTGTACTGTACTCTCGTTTACCTTCTGTCGATCATAAGTCTACTCTTTCATCCGGCCATGCCTCCATTCCTTGCTTCGTCTGTGCATCCATCTATCTATGAAGCGGATCGTATATTTGCTTGTTAGGCTGTCCATCCATTCATCATTCCCTACTTTCCCTTTTATAGGCTCGTTATTCTGTTCATCTATCAATCTGCCCGTTCTGGCTTGCCTTTTCGTGCTTTCATGCCTCCATTCCTTTCTATTTGTCAGTTACTATGTTTATATGTCTATTTATCCGTTCAATCAAGTATCTTCCTTCACTCAACCTGTTCTTCCGATCGTACATATCGTATATCAATAGGTTTGTCCGGAATGATTGGGCGGATTCCATGCTGTTATTTCTCTGACTATGTGTATGAAATGGTTGAGCTGGGAATATTTCAGGGAGCTGTCAAGTTTCAGATCATCGATAACTTTTCCTGCCTAGATTATATTATATATCTTAAGATCTATAACAAATATTTTCAGATAATTGTATATTTCAGTTTTCAACCTTATTTATAATTTCACCATCATTTACTCTCGCGACTTTCATCACTTTTAATATTAATTCATTTACTTTTTACCACTTTCGCTTAGACAACCCTATGACAGTTCACTAGTTTAGCTTTGTAGATATACATACATATCTCATATGGGCACCCATACCACTTCCTGTACCTGCTTCCCTGTCGATTTCGGATATGCATAACAATGCTGAAAATTAGCGAAGCAGAAAGGCATGAAAAAATGTCATGCTCACACATGCATTGTATATTGTTAATACGTGCCAGAAACATTCGCACTTGTTTGTTTAGCTGATTGCAAAACACATTGTGAACAAACCGCCTGGAGCTGTGTGATTTTTCTCCTCACATAAGCCTAAATGGATGGATAATGGAGGCGGATTGAATCGCTTGGCACACGTGCAGGTGAAGGGCTACTTTGCGGAAAGTTCAAAATTAATGAACTACAAAAGACGCTGATTTGCATATGCAAATCCGGAAGCATTTGTGCTGCGTAGTGCGGCTGGCAAACAAGCTCCCAGCAGATGAGCTGAGATGAAAGATTTGTCAACTGCAGCACCGTCGACCAGGCAGCTGACAGTGTGAATGGGTCTAATTTGATGAATGCTCTGTTTAAGGGCATGTGTGAAGCCGTTTTCAAACTGTCTCTCGATTGAGTTGAATTACTTTGATGGGTGCTGGGAGTGGGAGAGTTGAACGGATCGTGTATATGTGAGAGATGCAAGAATAAGGCCAGGCATTGGTATGCCCCAAGGCATCCTAGGGAACAGGGCATATTCATTTTAACTGATAAATAAATGAGAGTTGGAGGGAGATGGAGTATCTATATTATTATTGGTAATCTAGTCGGTCTAGTCTAGTCTAGTTCGTTCTTCTGTCAACTCCCCCGTCTGTTCGTCTTTATATCCTTCTGTAGATCTGTTTGTTCGTCCTTTCGTTCATCAGCCCGTATGTCCGTCCGTCCGTCTTTCGATGCTTTTGTCTATGTGTTCTTCCGTCTGTCGGTACATCAAGCCATACTCGAAGAGCTAGGGCATTGTATATATGGGTAGCTTTAACAAAAAAAAACAAAATTTGTTTCCAATTAAACATAGATAATTATCGATAATCCAAGTTTCTTTTGGGCATGTAATCGAATGTTTTAATTGCTACAGTCTCTAAATTTAGTTATAGATTTTCCCGTCCGCTCACTCCTTTCATTGTGGCCTTTGTTTACGCCTTGGCAATCCTGTTTGGAAGCAACAAAGCTCTCAAGTATCTGTTCATCTCTTTTTAGTTTGAGCTACTGTACTTTTATCACTTGAGCATACGTGCTGAAGCCATACACAGGCTTGAGTACATTTAATCCTCGCCTGGAAAAAAATTCATATATAAATATTTCTTTTTTCACACTCTTGCTCTAACAAATTTCTCCGTAGACTTGCATGTATGTGTGTGTGTGTGTTTGCATGCTTTGTGTCTGGCATTGTTGACAGCTTAAGATTTTGATAAGTCATTGAAAAGTGTGTCTATAAGCACTCAAACTTTCAAGTGGCATTCACTCGGCTGCTGTGGACTGACAAAAGACTCTTTCCGACTTTTCCAGCGACTGCTGATGTCTTTAGCCAATCGACACTCCGGGCTCCGGCTCTATGATTTCCACTTGCCTTCATGCTTCGCCCCTTTCTTTCCCTTTTTAATTTGTTTGAATATTAGTTGCAAAGGGAATTATTGAAATTTGAGTGGACTTCAAAGAAGCCAAAGCCGATTGCACAAAATTGAATTAAAAGACAATGTGCAAAGCGAACGACGACGACGACGACGAACGGCGAACTGGGGCGCATCCCCATCGCCCTGCAGCCGGGCACAAAGCGTGATTTATGTGACTTATGTGCTGGCTTAGTCCCAGTCCAGCAGCACCAGTAGAAGCAGCAGCAGCAGCAACGGCAGCATGTTTGCCAAATCCTCCAAAAATTATACATACATATTGAATCGACCCTTGCCGCGAACTTATCTAGAAGCAACCCCAAAACAGCTTGTTTTGGAGAGTGGAGAGTGGAATTTCCATGAATTGCAGAAGATTGAAGTTGATTTATGGGCGACGATCGGAAGATCGAAGACACTATGTAGATCCCACTGGCCTTTGGGACCAGACCTGAAAAAAACTGTAGATCTGAAGCTAATTTAATGTTTCTTACCTTAATACTCGGAAAACTATTCATATACCACTGGCACATATGATAAATATGTAGTTTTAGAAGGATGGATTTCAGAGATATAAGTCATATGAAAATATTCCTGTTAATGCTGAAAATATATTAATATTATTAACTGAACAACATGTAGAGTCTATAGATATATAAAATGATTTTATAGATGGCATTTATCTGCTTATTATATGCAGCTTATAAAAGGATTTTTAAAGTGAAATGGATGCCACGATATCACATAAGCTATGTAGACTTTCTACTACTACTATCATTTCATTATATTGTAGATGTGAACAACTTTTGTAGTCAGGAGAAAGGATATTCGATTGTGGTAGATAAATAAATATTGATAGGGGAGGAGGGTACACCTCACCCAAATAATTTCCACATTTACTTTACTGCTTAGTTTGATATAGTGTGTTAAGTGCTTTTGGCAGCGCATCTATTAGTCGTCTATATTTCACATTTGACATAGAATCGACGCTCGGGCATCTTTCATGCGCAAAATTTGTTGCTCCAATGGACACTGGTGGTAAGCGAAGTCTCTGTTGGTGCGGCACTCGCTTGGGCTCGTGGTAATAATTCTAGATTTATGAAAATTGTTTTCCCGTTAATGTTTACTATGTTTTCGACATTTTTATTGTTGTTGGTCTGGTATGGTCTGGGCTCGCTCGTTCGCTGGCTGGTTACACCGAGAGAGAGAGAGAGAGAGAGAGAGAGCAAGAGAGAGAGCGAGAGAGAGAGAAGGGCAGCATTCGCACGCCGAAAATAAGCAAAGTGAATTGAATTTCGGGGCCACGGCGATAGCTAAAAATAAGTGAGTAGCTTGCAGACGGGTATGACTGACTGTCTAATGCACATTAGCCATGGCAAAACTCTGCTCATTGGAGAAGAGACGAAAATGTGAGAGACTTTTCAGCTAAGAGGAAATTTCTGAATCTCAGCTTGACTCAGAGAGCCAATATGCTCGCTCAAATTTGTGAATGGGCATAGAAACTGTGTGCAGCAGCCACTCAGCTCACCCCAGAATTTGAAAATCACAAATAGCTGACCTTATATTTTGACTACACCCACACGCGCGTGTGTGTGTGTGTATGTGTGCGTGTGCGATTGGGAGCTGGAAAAGCCGAAATACTGCGAGTGAGTGAAATGTATTTGGAACACTTTGCTCATTGCGGAGCTGTAATATGAAACTTTTCGGCTTGAGTTTTGTTTTCTTGAAAGGGTTGCGCACTTTGATTAAATTTTGTGCATTGCACGCATAAATCGTGAGTCCCAACTGGGGCTGAGCAGGCCAAGTTTTTGAGTTTATGGCGCGTGAGCAGTTAAATCGAGACGAGTTGCCATTGACATTAATCGAGGCGGCTCTCTGCTTCCTAGCTGCAATCGAGCCATTTACTGTTCTTAGCCATTGACAGCCAAATACCTATTGATGAATGAGCAGGCGGAGCAGCTCGGACTGCCATAAATAATCAGTTCCGCTTCGGAATCAGCATGCATTTGAATTGAATGATGGATTGGGTGTAAGTGGGCCTGAATGCTCGAATTACACATTTGGATAACGGCACTTTTGGCAACATTCGGTCAGCTATGAATGATTCCTAGTTCATCCTCTATTGGCCTCTATTGTTGTGAAGCGAATGTAAGTGGACAACAACTGGAGTCTGATATCAGAAAGACATCTCAAACAGCTGCAATGCATCGAGTAGACTGCAGACTATTTAGAAATTTAGAATGCAAATTGATTTATTTTTAAGTTTTCCTTATAATTCTGTATATATCTCGAACTCTGTCACTCTTAACTACTTAAAAAATGTCATTATCTGTTAAGAAGCAGCTCTATAGAATAGCATGTAAATATTTTCGCATATTTTGTAACTTTTGACTCGATCTCGTTTCTCTAAATCGGCATTGATTCGAAGGTTTTCCATTATCGATCTACGACTAAATATAGCATACGTATGTATGTATATTTCAAATGATTTTTGAATTGATTATCTTTTTGGATATTTATTGTTTCATAAATTTAACTCGCAGTCATTCCATAATGTCTCC